CCCAACTTAATTGGCTGATGCAGTTTCATTAACATCAGAATGATTCACAAATCCAAAATCAATATACATATGTTAGTGGAACCTGCCTATTCTGTGAAGCAATTTCTTCCACTAATCTGCTCATAAACACCAGGGATTTGACTCGGTCATTACTGTTCACCTAAGTGTGAAACAGCTCTGCTGGGATATGTGAAATGATCTGTGCCATTGTATGTTTCTTTCTGTAAAATGATATCATTACTCTGGATTTACGTTGACATAACTGAAAGTAACTCACGTCCCTCTTTCTATTGTATTCGTCCCTTTCGCCTCCATATTAACACACATTTGCTTTGCTGAATCAAGCAGCTGTTGGAAGTATACAGAGTTCTATAGACAGGGCTCAGAATGCGATCTTTGTATCATCAAGTGTATCTGTATAGAATGGTAACAAGAAGCTTTTATGAATAAAACAAAGGCAATTAAAGCTGATACGATAGGGGGATATGTGAATGAACAAAAGCTGCGATAGAAGTGTTATAATCTTGTCTGTTTGATGGATGTGTAGCTAAATGGACTAGACATGCTAAGCATTTATTATTGCCCAGTTTCTTTAAAGTCAATGAGAGTGTCATTTCTTTGGTCATAAGCAGTGACCTTTATAACTCTGCCAAGTGCTGGAGATAGAGGTTTTTAGTATATGAACTTCTGCCACAGGACTAGTTACCATCCTCGAGCCATGGATAGATCAAGGCCAGAGTGAATTATAGCATTCAGCCTAATTCTGAGGTTTTTGTGTGTGATGATACACAGGCTCCCATTTATGCCTTAGGAACATAAGAGCACAGGAAGCTGCTCTATACTGAGTCTGACCACTAGGCCATGTAGTTCAGTATTGTCTACAGTATTTGTCAGTAATTTCATACGTCTAGTGGAGGGCACTGGAAACTAAGGTTGTGGGGTGAAATGACAAAGCTTCTAAAAATGTGCAAGCAATTATACACACCACTTGACCACCTCTTGATTATTTTAAGGAATGAAAAAGCAATAGAATGCTGCCCCTCCCCCACAAAAACCCATTTGGCAGCAATTTGGTAGGCTTAATCCACTCTGAAGAGACTCCTGTGCCTGCAAATTTTAAACAATTTGGCTAAAAAGGGGGAATGTTAGAGCTATTTCTAGATTTCACTTTGTAGTGAGTTGGGCAACACAGAGCTTCATTTTATATAGAATGGCTCAGGAACAGAATAGCAGATCAAAGTGGAGAATGTGGGAGCGGGGTTATTGGTTTGTTTTTCTTCTTGTTTTTATCATGTATTTTGTGTTCTAATTTTGTATTATTTTGTTGTGAAACATCCTGTAATCTTCAGATGAAGGACAGTATATAAAATAATAAATAAATAAATAGGATTTTGTTTATTTAAAAAATTGCTCACATACAGATATAAGGTGCCATACGTACCCCTACATCTGCATTACTGAAAGACAAAGAGAGTAAGCTAAAAGGCATGTACTCCTCTTTGCTGTGGGTAAAGCTTTACTGAACTATGTACCAATATCTATTTGCCAGAATTCACAAAATGCTCATTTTTTTTCTGTCTGAAAGAATTTTGTGCAGTGGAGAAATTTTTGGACTCTAAGCCACTAACTGAATTCAGTTAAAACTTTCGTCTGAGATTCTGGACCACCTTGATTGATTGATTGATTGATTGATTGTTTATTGCTGTTGTTGCTGTTGGTTGGATATTTATTGTTTGATGTGAACCACTTTGAAACTTTGGTTCGAAGTAAAATATAAAATAACAACAACAGTAATGACATATGACCAGTGGATCTGGTGATGTTTGAAAGAGTGAATGTTATGATTCCAGAGTACAATTAGGTTCCTATTGTTGTTAGCCATAATGAAATTACCCTTTCAAAGTTTTAGTTATTAACCAGTTTGGAGACAATGTTAAAAGTCATGGAAAAACCTTATACTATTATCCATTCTATGGGAGTACTGAGGTGAGGGGTGGGAAGTATTTTTAGTCACTTATAAAAACGTAGTTTCTATAATAACAATACAACAATTCCAACTAAGGGGGTGCTTTAAAGTTGTTGTGGACAGGTGATTCAGCATATATTTGTCTGGACCTCTCTTGGAAGCGTGGAACATTCTGAGCTAGCTCACTTGTTGTTTCAGCACCATGGAGAGCACCCACAGCTTGCACGTCCTGAACCTGTCAATGCAGGATTTGACAAAGCAGAGACACTGTCTTACCTCTCCATTGTACTATCAGCTCTAATGCCTCTCTATTTCTACCTTCTCTGAAAACTGGCAGATAAAAACGAGTTCCCTAAAGCGTGTGTGCTTAGTAACCCTCACTATATGAAATGTTTTAAGGATTCTAATTAAATATTTCTAAATAGTTTTAGGTCTTTCAGTACCCAGAATCATGCATTTGGGGATGGGGGATAGATGAGAGAATACACTGAGGATTAATTAATATAGAAATTCTATTACATGCATATATTTCTCCCCAAGAAAATGAAGTATTGGAATAAAACACGAGAGATTGCTGAAATCAAGAGGTATTGCAGTGGGGAAAGAGTCTCAGCACTCCAGCCAATGAACTCTTACCATTTGAAAAGTAAACAGAAAAGGGGGAGGGGAATGACATGACATGCCAGCAAAATCAACCTCTGTCCCTTTAAACTCTTGCTCATCAAACAGTTTGGCTGGTTTCACAAGCCAGGCAAAGCATATTGACTCGGGAAGACAGTGATACCAGTTCCTGGACTGCCTCTTCTTTGCAGTGAATAAGACAGCTTACCCAAGCAAAGGTAGGGTAAAAGATGTAGAAGCTGTGAATCCCACTTAGTTGATTTCTTCTGCTGACTAGTAGTAAGTGCATATTATTATTGCCTGTTTCTCAGCATCAGTTGCATGCAGCTTATTGTGTATAGTGCTCTTGCTCAGAGGCACTGAGATCTTTTTCAGCTCTTTTTGAACAGAGAGGCATATATATGTGATCAATAAATATCCGCTTAATTCATGAGCTTCTGTAAACCTGCATTCACTTGCTTTGCTCTTGTAATCAACAGTGTGTTCTCTTTATCTGATTATCTCATTGTCTCTGCAACCCCCAGTAAAAACTTAAATTATATTATCACCACCTTTCATCACATTTATCCTCTGAGAGATAAATGTCCCCCCTCCCATAATTTCAGCTGTCTGTTAAATGCATGTGCCTCAGAAGGTGGAGGTTGCACTTCTGCTTGTAGAAGAGCCATCACAATTTTGGAGGGCTGTTTATTTATATATATATTTACCCAAAGTGTTCAGCTTATTTCACTTTGAGGGATATGGAGACTTGGGTAGGGTGATGAGAAGTGGACTCCAGAATGTGTGAAGGACCAGCTTAAAAAAGAATGATGAGGGAAGATGTGTCCAGTGATTAGTCCCACAGAACCTGTATGGATTATATCTGGTGTGATACAGACTGTGTAGGACTCCCTGATGTACGAAGAGTTCAGTCTGAACTTCCTCATTCTCTCTGATGAGAAAGAAAACTACACAAATGCAAGGTATTTCCATGCAAGATTTTATTAGTGGGATCATTTCAGCTCATGTAAGCAACCACACAACTCTGGAGGCATAAAAATGCCAATCCATATTTTCCCCTATTTATTCCAGATTTATCCTTTCTGCAGAACAGCCAATCAATTTTAAAAACAGACAAACCCTTCTTGCCGATCACCTGTTTTTGATATCTAATTAACTCATTTGCGATATTAAGCCCTAGTCAAAAACCAACTATTTTCAAATAGGCAGCCTCATCATTCTTCCAGAAAGGCATTTCAGACATCCCCCCATCACTTATTGGACATTAGGAACATGGCGTGAGTTCTCTCTACTAGGGAAAGAACATGTATCAGGCATGCACATGCCAGTCAGAAATATCGTCACAGTCCAGTTCAATTTCTAATCAGTTCTGTCTGGAAGTCCTGTAGTATATTCAAACAGCTTTTTGCATGATAGTGCTTTATGTACCGGAGGTCATTAAATTATTTTCTCCCCAGCAGTGAAGAATTTACAGGATTGGGCTTGGCAGGCATGGAGGTTTGGCACATTTTTCATCAGTCCATTTTGTAGATGGCTCAGCCAGAAGGTGCGTAATGATTAGCAGCAGTTGCAAAGAGACCTGTCTTGGGGAAGGTGACCTCAGTGCCCATGGTTTCAGAATCTGTAGCTAAAGTCTGTTATTTTTCCAGACAGTCCAGCATTTCATCAACTAGAAGAAAGACAGCTGGTGAAGTTGCAGAAGATATCTGTGTGGAGATTCCAGAGGCAAAAACATTCCAGCAAGAGGAGGGTAACTGAAATTGTATTCTAAATTCCACCTCCACCTAATGTGAGCCAGTTTCTTGGGCCTAGTTATTTGTCCCTAATTTCCTTCTAATCCTGTCCACCCACCCTGTCTTCTACATTATCAGTTTTGGCCCAAAATAATTGAATATATAGCAAGGAAAGGGGAGATGATTGTGCCTGCCACATCTAATACAGCAACTGCATTTTTGTGTGACTCTCATGCCTTCCCTCATTTTTAAATAAAGTTTGTAGCTTCTAGGGATCTATAGAAATCCTTTGAAATATGTGGGTGTTTGCTTGCTAAAGGCTCAGAAATCAGAGGATGAAAAATGTTTTATTATGCTGAAATGTGCATGCTGTTTTTCATCTTTCCCCAAAGCCTAGAATTTTTATAGCCTCTTTTATATGGAAAAGCGTATTCACCCACGGTTCTTCATAGCCCTTCCCCTTCTGCTCTCCCTTGTTCCTCACAAAAAATGGCAATAATCAAATGACAAAATTAAATCAATTTCTATATGTTTCTCCCTATTACATTAATATTAATGACATTATTGAGGTTGTAAACATAGATGTACTATTTTGAATCACAGATGCTCTTTAACTAAACACTGTAACAATGGGTACAGAGAACTCACTAATATCTATGGTTTATCATCCTGCAGGCCAAATGTCTGAGTTCTTTGAAGGTTCAGGTACCATTCCGACCAACTTCACTCCAGTGGCTTACAACATTGCTATGAATGGGACCTTGATGGTTTTCCATGGTTTGCAGCTAGTGCAACGGTTGAAGCTGTTGATCATTCTGATGTACACAGGTGTGGTCATTATTGGGATGGTAGGCAACTGCCTTCTGGTTCACGTCATCCTGCGTGTGAAGAAGATGCACAACGTCACCAACTTCCTCATTGGGAACTTGGCCCTTTCGGATGTGGCCATGTGCACAACCTGCGTCCCCCTGACTCTCGCCTACATTTTCGAGCCACGCGGCTGGATATTTGGCAGCGCAATGTGCTACTTTGTCTACTTCATGCAGCCGGTCACAGTCTATATCTCCATCTTCACCTTGGCCACCATCGCCGTGGACCGGTACATAGTCATCATGCACCCCCTGCGACGCCGGATCTCTCTGCAGCTCAGTGCCTACATGGTCCTCTTCATCTGGATTCTCTCCTGCTGCTTGGCATTACCAGCCATGGCCCACACCTATTATGTGGAGCTGCATCAACAGGGTGTCATCCTGTGTGAGGAATTCTGGGGAGAGCAAGAGCGCCAGCGACAAGCCTATGCGTTGTGCCTGCTGCTGATTACTTACCTCTTCCCCTTGCTAGCCATTCTGATCTCTTACTTCAAGATCTTTCTCAAGCTGAAGAACAGGGTTGTGCCAGGGTGTGTTACTCAGACTCAGGCAGACTGGGACAGAGCCAGGCGGAAGAGGACATTCTGCCTGCTGGTCATGGTAGTAGTGGTGTTTGGGGTGTGCTGGCTTCCTCTCCACACTTTCAATCTCATCCGGGACATTAACATAAATGCAATTGATCCTTATTATTTCAGCCTGGTCCAGCTGGTTTGCCACTGGTTTGCCATGAGTTCAGCATGCTACAACCCCTTCATATATGCCTGGCTCCATGATAGCTTTAGAGAAGAGCTTAAGAAATTAGTGGTCTGGCATAGAAAAGTAGCTCCTTCTGGGCAAAGTGTGACTGTAAGTGTTGTGATCTGATCACTTCTCCTACAGCTGATTTTGCAGCTGATCTTGGGTCTATCATCCCGAGCCTCTAAGGTCTAGGTGCAAAATAAAAGTTCCAAATAACAGCATGCCTTATGCTGGCAAAAACCATGACTCCATGCAATGTGACATGTGTTGGTATGCAACTCCTATCAGCCCTGGCCAGCAAGGCTAATGATCAGAGATAATGGAAGCTGGAGAGCTAGAGGGCACCATGTTGGCTGCCACTGGTGTAAAGTAAATTCATAGCGTACTCTGCAGATGGATGGATTGGGGGGAAAGGAACACTGAAAGGGGGAGAATAGAAATTAAGAGTTGGCTTTTTAAAAACAACAAGAACATTGCACATTAAATCAGTATCAGTGAAAGTGTGTGGGTGTAGGAATTTCACTTCTTGCTTTGTCACGGTGTAGCAGAACATTGTTTATAAGGGATGTGAATGTCATTAATATCTAGTTTATGTCTTAAAGTTCTGCATGTATAATACATAGCTTATAACTAATTATGACAGTGGAGTCGTATTCAGACTGCAGGGAAATGCCAGCATTTCAAGCTACACTTGCAGAGGTTTCTGCACTTTATAGTGTTTTCATGATTTGCGATTGCCTGGAGATATTAAATGCTGAATTCTGTCTCTCACTCTTATCAAATTTGCACATCAAATCTGAGCAGCGTAGACATGGTTTACTGAACATTAGACTTCAAGCAAGACTCTCTTGATCACATTATCTTGGAATACATATGTTGTTTGTGTGATTGTGAAATAAAAAGGACAATGGTGGTGATTTCTACCTGATAAAATGACACCTTATTGAAACACATACCAGAAGTTAAACTGGATGTTTACATGAACTTTAAGACGACATAGAAGACCAGGACAGAATGTAAGTGATACAAGACCTGCATCCAGGTCTCATTGTCAGATATATATTTGAACAGAGAGAAATCAACTGGATTTGCATTGAGTGATAATAGATTTCAGTGTGACAAGTGCCGGAAAAGCAAGTTTCTCTTACCCTTGCACTCTACATTAAAACAAAACACCCTTTTGATTTCTAAGAGTGTGCAAATTTATTAGAAATTTGCCATAAGAGAAAAGTGCCCTATGGCAGAGGTGTCTGTACGATTTTGTTAACAAACATGCAAATAACCTCAGGGCATGAGCAATGGCATACAATTACTCTTACAGTTCAGAAAGTAATGCATATTCTTAACTGCTTTCTGGATTAAAAAGGTAAAGGTACCCCTGCCCGTACGGGCCAGTCTTGCCAGACTCTAGGGTTGTGCGCCCATCTCACTCAAGAGGCCGGGGGCCAGCGCTGTCTGGAGACACTTCCAGGTCACGTGGCCAGCGTGACATCGCTGCTCTGGCGAGCCAGAGCCGCACACGGAAACTCCGTTTACCTTCCCGCTTGTAAGCGGTCCCTATTTATCTACTTGCACCCGAGGGTGCTTTCGAACTGCTAGGTTGGCAGGCGCTGGGACCGAGCAATGGGAGCGCACCCCGCCGCGGGGATTCGAACCACCGACCTTTCGATCGGCAAGCCCTAGGCGCTGAGGCTTTTACCCACAGTGCCACTATTAAGCACTGGCAAGCACTGGCAATGTTCCCTGTGAATGGTAGACACTTTCAATAGACGTTAATGACATTTGGTGCTGTATCTAAGGCAGAGATGGGGAATATTTGGCCCTATAGATGTTGCTGCTGCCTAACTCAGCAAGAATGGGAATTAAATATTTCATATTAAATGAGTATGGTTATGAAACATACTCTAGGCTATTCTCAGTCAGGGTCATTTATTATAGCAGGACCTTTGAGATGTGAATCACATATCTCCCATGTCAGGTCAAGTAGTCCTCTCAACATTTTCATACCCACAAACCACTTCTGTGGCTGCTAAATTGGTTATCAAATCACTGGTTATTGAATTATTATGTCAGGCAAACTCTTGACATCAGCCTGAACCCTCTTGGATGTGGGAGCTTGTTACGCAGGTGGATAAGAGGGGGAATTGGTTTTGCTGGGATAGGGAAGTGGATTTTAAAGCTAACACAACTTTATCCCCGAGGTTTTCTGTCACTCTGGTTCATTTTCTTCATGAAATCTAACAAAGCAAAGATGAGTATACTGTATGTAAGTCCACATAACAATTCTCCAGAGTTTATAGAACAGTCATTATAACCCTTAGTAAAACCTTTTCCCCTGTCTTCTTTGTTTCAAACTCCTATTATAGGATTTTTTAAAGGGGGAAATATTTAGAGCTGGCTTTTAAGTCTTACCACAAGGCACACAGGAAAGGTAGGCTTTTTGCAGCCTAATTGTGATAAAGGAAGGAAGAGCAGCCACATCAGATTGGGCCGTGTTTAGGGGGCACAGAAGCTGAAAAAAGCCAAAGGTATTCCCATGTTTTGCTCTTCCCTGATGGAAATCATTTCTATCTGGGTTCAGCTACTTGTGAGAAACAGACAACACTTTAAAACGACACTGGCAACATCAACAAAACTTTCCCTCAGACATTCATGGATAAGTGGATAGGTGTGCCCTTAATGCATAGGCTCTATGCTATGATTAAATGCCTCAGTTGGAAGCACTAAGACTTCTGAATACCAGTTGCTGCAACCCACAGAAAGGGAGACTGCTCTTATACTTGGGCCTTGCTTGGAGGTTTCTTACAGGCATCTGGTTGGCCACTGGGAGAACAGGATGCTGGACAAGATGGGTCACTGACATGACCTAGCGGGCTCTCCTTCTCTTCTTATGTTGACTTGGAGAATGGACGCTTCCTTCCTGAACCTTCCTGAGGACTGCTGGGGTGACTCACTCAAAGGAGCAAGGGGTTGTGATAGACATGGGTTGTCCTCCTGTGAGACATGTGCAGCTATGAGGAGCCCAAACTAGTTCTTAAACTGATCCTGGAATCCCAGCAAGGAGTACTGTTTTGGGGGGACAGGGGGTGGGCTGGTGTGGAGGACTCCCTGGTCCTGAATAGGGTAACTGTGCCCCTGAAGGACCAGGTGCGCAGCCTGGGAGTCATTTTGGACTCACAGCTGTCCACGGAGGTGCAGGTCAATTCTGTATCCAGGGCAGCTGTCTACCAACTCCACCTGGTACGCAGGCTGAGACCCTACCTGCCCGTGGACTGTCTCGCCAGAGTGGTGCATGCTCTAGTTATCTCCCTCTTGGACTACTGCAATGCGCTCTACGTGGGGCTACCTTTGAAGGTGACTCAGAAACTACAACTAATCCAGAATGCAGCAGCTAGACTGGTGACTGGGGGTGGCCGCCGAGACCACATAACACCAGGCTTGAAAGACCTACATTGGCTCCCAGTACGTTTCCAAGCACAATTCAAAGTGCTGGTGTTGACCTTTAAAGCCCTAAATGGCCTTGGCCCAGTATACATGAAGGAGAGTCTCCACCCCCATCGTTCTGCCTGGACGCTGAGGTCCAGTGCCGAGGGCCTTCTGGCGGTTCCCTCATTGCAAGAAGCAAAGCTACAGGGAACCAGGCAGAGGGCCTTCTTGGTAGTGGTGCCCGCCCTGTGGAATGCCCTCCCATCAGATGTCAAAGCGATAAACAACTACCTGACAATAGAAGACATCTTAAGGCAGCCCTGTTCAGGGAAGTTTTTAATGTGTGATATTTTAGTGTATTTTTGGTTTCTATAGAAGCTGCCCAGAGTGGCTGGGGAAACCCAGCCAGATGGGTGGGGTACAAATAATAATAATAATAATAATAATAATAATAATAATAATAATAATAATAATTTTAGCTGGAGGTCAGTGGTGGCTGAGCATTTGCTGCCTCAGACTAAGAGTGTATGCCTGCAGTAACCATTTTAGCTATTGTGCATGCTACCTTTTTCTCTGCTGCAAGTCTTTACTATCAGTAATGTTGTGGCCCTCGCTGGAACTAAGGCCTGGAGGGGTGTCTCTTTATTCCTTGGTGTCCAGGAAACATTGGAAATGAGTCACCCACTTATCCTGGGTTTAGCAAGCCCTTTCTGATAGCCTAAATGAAAAGTGCAAACCACACTTAGCACATGTCTGGGATGGAGAAAGTAGCCTGTTTTCCTGTTACAAAATGAAATATTGATTTTTAAATCCTGATGAATAGCACAGATCTCTGTTCCAAGGTGTTAACAGCAAAGAAAACCTTCAAATTACGCTGGATATCACAGCAGGCGGTTGGGAAGATGTGATGCCTCTCTGCATTTTTGTGAATATCAGCCTTCCAGCCTTTTCCTTCAGGCAGGCTGACATGCAAAGCCATGAGCAAATACAGGGGAAATTGATGGCACAAGGTCTTCAAGATACTGTAAAGATCAGTATAAGAGGCTCACAAAAGGGAGGCAGGAGCTGACTATAATAGCCCATAGTTCCTCTTTCCTTATTACAGGTTAGCAGAAAGCAAGCACCTACATTGGCTCCCAGTATGTTTCCGAGCACAATTCAAAGTGTTGGTGCTGACCTTTAAAGCCCTAAATGGCCTTGGCCCAGTATATCTGAAGAAGTGTCTCCACCCCCATCGTTCTGCCCGGACGCTGAGGTCCAGTGCCGAGGGCCTTCTGGCGGTTCCCTCATTGTGAGAAGCAAAGCTACAGGGAACCAGGCAGAGGGCCTTCTCAGTAGTGGCGCCAGCCCTGTAGAATGCCCTCCCATCAGATGTCGAAGAGATAAACCTGACATTCAGAAGACATCTGAAGGCAGCCCTGTTCAGGGAAGTTTTTAATGTGTGACATCTTAGTGTATTTTTGGTCTTTGTTGGAAGCCGCCCAGAGTGGCTGGAGAAACCCAGCCAGATGGGCGGGGTACAAATAAATTATTATTATTATTATTATTATTATTATTATTATTATTATTATTATTATTATTATTTCTGGCTAATGGTTTGTTGTGATGCAGAGGTGGGCTCTATCACTGATGATGCTGTGGAATGCACTCCCTGTTGATATATGAAAAGCCCTATCTATATTGGCATTCTGCTGTCTTTTGAAGACACACCTGTTTATGCAGGCATTCCCCTGAGCTCTCAGACTGGGTCGCCTGTTTTAATTACTGTGTTGTTTTAAAAGGGATTGTTTTATTGTATATTCTAAAACTGGGAGCTTACAATTCTCACTGGATGACTTTGGGCCAATCACTAACCCTGGCCATAGCCTACCCCAAAGGTTTACTGTGCCAGGAGCATGTGAGCTCCCCTGTGGATCTGGGAGAAAAGATGAGATAAAGAAATCATCACTGTCATCATCTTTAAAAGTCTGCTGTTTCAAGGCAAAATTTTGTAGCCTGCCAAACAACAGCAGATTCGTCCATTTATTTTTAGAGGCAGGAGACGGAGATTGTGTGAATTCAGCTCAGTAGTTGGAGGAATAAAGCACCCTATCTCCCAGCCACCTAAAGATTGCCATCTTGTCTAATACACGATCAGTAGCTTCACTAGCAGCCAGAGAGGAACAGACCTGTGATGCTTTAATTGTGTCAGTCAACAGGGGAGAATTGCCAGTCTCTCTCCAGAGTTTCAGTTTGCAGCCAGTTTAGAGAACATTTTCACAACAGCTACAGCAGTGATTCTTTTTTCTTACGGTTGTTGACTAATTAATTGATGACAGACACCAGAATCTGAGAATACCTATTTGCTGAAGGCTTTCGCTACTCTAAACTTTAAATAATATGCAGGAATTGT